GCTTCCTGGATTATAGGCACTGCATTTGTCTGTTCAGTGCCTCTGAACTGAATGTTTACTAGGCTAACGCCTCCGGAAATACATTTAAGTCATGGTTTTCATTTTATGACAATGTATGCACTTGGGGTTATACGTTGTTTAAGAGAAGTCGAGTTAGAATTTCTAGCAATTGGCTTAGTTGCCTTATTAAAGGGGGAATAATACAAAATTTTATCTCACCAATAAATGAAAATGTTTAAAAATCCTATGTGGTCTGGGTTTCTGGGATGACCCATTGGTTGGTCCTCTCAAAGGTCAGTTCAGGCATGTTTCAGACTCAGAGGTTTATTCTTGAGTTACATGAGGTTTCTGTGGGCAACAAAACCAAAAGGAATTTTTTCTTTAGCTGCAAAAAAATTTAATAAAATTCAACACCTATATTCACACTAAGCCCCCTAGCAAATTAGGAATAGAAAGGAACATTCTTCACCCTATAAAAGGTATTATTTAATAAATATGCATCATATTTAATAGGCCAACAGTAAGAGGATTTTCTTTAAAATCAGGATGCCTGCTATCATCACTTTACAATTCAATATTGTCTTGGAACTTTTAACTACTTTAATAGTCAAGAAAGTTAAAGTATGAAGACTAGAAAGAGAGAAACAAAACGGCCATTATTCACAGAAGATAAGATAAAATCCCCAAATAATCTTAGGATAGAGCGTCTGAATTAAGAGGAGAGTTTAGCAAGTGCTGTTTTCTCTTCCAAGAGCAGGACATTCCAGGTTGGGCTTTGAAGCAACATGACATTCTGTTCAGTATGTGCCTTAGAAGGGTCTGAGGTTTGTATAGTTTAGAATAACCTGCGGGGAACTCTTCATGCCACCAGGGAAGGAACTAAGGAGGACAATTCCTATGGAGAGGAAGAGAGAAGTTTCCTTAATGACAGAAAAATTATTCATCGTTCAAAGAAAGGAATCTGGGAATGGGCAGAAAAAGTTTAGATGCCTAAAGTTTGAAGGGGAGCTTCAAAAACATCTTAGTAGGTAGGACAAACTTACCCTGGCCCACAAACCTCACAAGGTAAGGCTTCCCTTTCTGGCATCACCTACCACTCTCCCTGGGTTCTCCTTCCACTCCAGCCATGCAGATTTTACGGATCCTAAAGTTCCCCAGACATTCTCACCTCTTCTTCCAGTGATGGCTGTCTTGTACTTCCCAAGGCAGTGAAAGCTGATCAGAGGACCCTCATATTCCTGTGATGATTGCAAACATTTTATCCTAAATTAGGGCGCTTTTTCCCCTGAGAAATGTTTTCTATCTCATCAGAATGTGATTTACTACTGCACTTTGTAGATGATATCTTCCCTATTCCTTTCTTCTCATAATTGCAATTACCCATCACTTTGATATTGATCTTTGACAGCCATTTTGATTTTCTTTTCCTCAAAAATTTGAGTAGCAAACCAGGTGCTCTAGTACATACTTAAGTCATTCTTATTTGGAAGTTGAGAGTATTAGAATCATGGAACTTCAGTGGCTGCAAGTTAGTAGAACAATTCTTAAATCCACGGTTATGGTCTTGTAGGTGAGGGAAAAAAAAAAAATCTCTTTTCCTCTACCCTTCTAAATTCTTGGGTGGGGCCCCTGTAACAAAAGACAGATTAACAAGCAAAAAACAAACAGAAGTTTATTAACGTGTATATCTGACATATACATGGAAGAAACCCAAGGAAAGAAATGACTCGAAGAAGTAGCTTAGAATTTGGGCTTAAATACCGTCTTTAGCTAAAACAGGAAGAAATGTGTAGAAGAGGTAAGTTTGGGCAAGGTGACCAGGAAAAGTATGATAAACAACAGCAAGGTTTATTATGCAAATTTAAGATCCAGAGTTATCCTTTTCCTGGTAAAGAGAGGGAGACACACTTACAAATTGAAATTTCCTGTATAAATGTAACTTTCCCCTACAAAAAAGTAACTTATGCTGTTTCTCAAAATAATCGTTATGCCAAAGAGGCATTTTTAGAGTGGCATAGTCTGGTCTCCTACAGTTTGTCTCCACAAGGTAGTACACGTAACACTGACATGCATGTTGACTGTTGGCTCAAACAGAACGTTCATGAACCTCATTTCTTACGCATATCAGATTTCTGCCAATTTGCATTTCTGCCAATATGGTGACCTTAAAATTTACAAGACTTAAAATACATTTTAGAGTATGAAAGCCTATGTGTAAATACGAAAGCTAAATTATGATACACTTTTAACTGTAAACATTTTTTGGAGAAATATTAATGACAAAGTTGTACAAAAGAACTCTGATATATTTGTTTCATTTGCTGGATTTTTGTACTACTTAGTGCTCATTTCAACTACATGGCAAACTTCGAGAATATATTAAATAGCTTCAAACTACATAGGTTTAAATGATAGCCAGGTTTAGAATTTTTGGAACAGTGTTTGATTTTATGACAAAAGAATAAAATGTTATCGATTGTTAGTATTTTAAGGTACAGACACCAATTCCATGAGTGGGAAGAGGAAGAGAACTGGCTCTTACTTGGGCATGAGATGCATATGAGCAGCTGGAAAAAACCTGTCTGACGAATGACTAGAATGCATTTTACCATGTGCCTGTCTCTTCATGGACAATGAATTAGGACCAGTGCCACAGAATCCCAAACCTTGTGTGAGCACAACTGGGCAGTAAAATTGCAGTAAATTCTGAAAGGAGCTAAAAGAATCTTAATATATTACAAAAACAAAACTTTTTTTTCTAGGGATGTGAAATAAAATTTCAGCAACAAAACTTACTTAAAAAATAGTAAGTCATACTTAAAGCTATGTATGTTCATTATGTGTGCAGGCATCTCCCACTTGTCAGTAATATGTTCTATAAGAAAATGCTAACAGAATTTATTAGCAATCCCCCAATTTCCTACAAATACAACTGAAACACAACAAAACCATCACGTTAGAATGTAAGATACTTAAAACATCTCTTCTTGATCTAAGTTGCTTTGTGTGCAGTAGATTTTCTCTTCCATTATTGTTTTTCTCATGCACTTAAGTGGCTTTCTTCTCTACAGTTTTAGACACTTGCTTTACTTTTTTGGGACTCACACAACACTAGGTAAAAACAAGGTCTAGACACGGAAGGCATCGTGAAAATGCATTCCAATCAAGGACACATGCTGGAAACTGATCACGAATTTCTCCTACACAAACATCAGCAGAAAAATGTTGCAAGAAATAAGTAAGATACTAAGCTTCTATGAAGCTTGGATATTGTATGAGCTTTCTATTACTGCAAATTTAGTGGCTTCACACCATACATACGTTATCTTACAGTTCTGTAGGTTAGAAGGTGACACAAGTATCACTGGACTGAAATCAAGGTATCAGTAAGGCTGCATTTCTTTCTGGAAGCTCAGGGAGAATATTTCCTGCCTTTCCCAGCTTCCAGTGGCTGCCCACATTCCTGGGGTCATGCCCCTGACCCCTTCCTCCATCTTTAAAGCCAGCAGTGGCAGGTTCAGTCTCTCTCACTTCGCATCTGACTTCTTTCATATTCACATCTCCCTCTGATTCTTCTCTTCTGCCTTCCTCTCCCATTTTTAAGGTCCTTTTCCTTTTAAGGACCCTTGTGATGACACTGGGCCCACACAGGTAATCTAGGATAATCTTCCTATTTTAAAGCCAGCTGATCAGCAATCTTAATTCTCCTTTGCCAGGGAAGGTAACATATTTATGGGTTCCAAGGATTAGGACATAGACATCTTTGGGCTGCCATTATTCTACCTACTGTATACAAAAGCAAAAGCTTATCTTTCAGGAAAATGTCCCATGGGGAGATCTGCTGGGTATGCCTATACATAGTTTGTTTTTAAAAACTCACATGCTTTTATGAAATAGATTCTGAATTTCAGTTTAAGTTATGAAACAATTGTATTACTGTGGCTTGTGTAAGCTGGGACTGGAACTTTGAAAACTGTTATTCATTCTCCCTGTGATATATATTTGCATTAGTTTGCAAGGGCTGCCATAACAAAGTACCACAGACTGGGTGACTTAAACAACAGAAATTTATTTTCTCTCAGTGCTGGAGGCTAAAAGTTCAAGATTAAGGTTTCAGCAAGGTTGATTTCTTCTGAGGCCTCTCTCCTTGACTTGTAGATGGCCGTCTTCTCCCTGTGTCTTCACATGGTCTCTCCTCTGTGTCCGAATCTCTTCTTAGGAGGACATCAGCCATGTTGGAGTAGGGCCCACCCCAATGACCTCATTTAACCTTAATGACCTCTTAAAAGAGCCTATCTCCAAATATAGTCACATTCTGAAGAACTGAGGGTTAAGACTTCAACACGTGAATGTTGGAGGGAAAGAGTTCAGCCCATAATAATATCTAACACATTTTATGATTAACTCATAAGAGAATCTATATTAATAGAGGACCACTTGTAAAAATAAAAGGGAGAAGAGTAGAATACAACTTGTACACTTGTACTGACTGACAATTACTCTCAGGTAGAATTTTTTTTTTCTACAAAAATGGTGATTTATTTTGCTTTAACATACAATGGTAAATATATTGGGGATCATAAAAATTTTTTAAAAATTTTGCCAGGCTTACTTTACATATTACAATACTAATGTAAGCTCTTAAATTCTTCCATTTCAATGAAGAAAAGGGATCCAACTGACACCTGCTAGTAGCTTGGCTAAGGATGGACATTAAAATCAGACAATATACGGAAAATATAAAGTACTTTTCTCCAAATGTGTATAAAAGTTTTGAAAATAGAATCACTGCCTGCTCCACAGGACAGACAATTTGAATTTTAAAAATGCTCCAGACCAGAAATAGTATAACCCTGTGTAACAATACTTTATAATACAGTTTAATATTTTATCAAAGACTTTTGCACTTGAGATTAAAAAAAAAAAATGAAGAAAAAGAAAAACAGTAGCCAAGGAACTGCACAACCAACCAGAAAACGAAAATTACATAAAATATTGCTACCACTATTTAAATGCCAAATTTAATCAAGCAATAGTAAAAAAAACAAAACAACATAATAATACAACCTTCTGTTTAAAATAACAGCACTGTTCCACCTCTTTTCCACTGAATTTTACATATGAACAGACTATATATACCGGTTTTTTAGAGAAATGTCCATTTTGGTCTGTCACACCAGTCAGTCTCATCCTAAATCCTTTCTCCGTCTTCAGAGGACACGCGACTCCATGCTGTTTCCGTATTTGCAACACTCTGGGTTTGGTACAATGTCTCAAGTATGATACACTTCTCCCTTTTCCTTTACACAGTGCAGAGTATATGGGCTTGGGTTATGTAGATTCTCTTTCACTCCAGGTCACTGTCTTTTTCTAAATTCAAGGCGGTATTCAATGGAGTGCAGTAGTTGGGCTTGTCGGAAGGTACATAGCCTGGCAGACACAAACACTTGTAGGAACCTTCGGTGTTAATGCACTTGGCGTTCTTGCAGAGAGACATCCGGTTGTTCAACTCATCGCATTCATTCACATCTGCAGTAAAGCCAAAACATGCACGTCAACGATCTTTACTATTGCTCTGTGAGGAAACATAACCTACACTTACCCCAGGTATCAAGGCGGCCTGAATGCTGCGCCCTAGTGAGCTTCCCCATCATTGTCTGTTTCAATCACAGACAAGATAACGATGACTATCTATCTATCTATCTATTTTCAAAATATTAAGGGGCTATAAGGTGAATTTTTACATCTTAAAAAGGTAGATTATCAGGGAGGTTCTGGAATTTCTTCCCCTATTACTTAGCACAACATGAACATTTTGTCAGCTTGACATTTTGTAGTCAAACCTTAAGAAAGTTGGAGGAACTATACTACCTCTAAATCCTTCCCACAGGTGTAGAAGAACTGCTAGATTTGTCAAGAGGAACCAGACAAGTAAGCAGAGAGCTCTCTGAGCAGCCTGTCGAAAGCCTTCAGTACATTCTTAGATCTCCTCCTAAACTAGATCCATTTAG